AGATGTGTATAAGAGACTGATCATACACCACTTAAATTCACCCGCTCACACACAGCACACTCACCCCACCTACCTCATATTCTAGGCCGTTAAGTAGAGTGTCTAATTAGTTGTTCTATTACTGCACTCAATAACAGAATACGCGGGGTGCTAAAGATATATATATAGTTGCAATTAAAAGAAAATGTGGCATTCGCATTTGATTAACATAACACACAGCTGCCACTGCATACTCTCAAACTGATTATATATTAGAATTCTTCAATAGTTTTCTTCCTAATACTTTTTCTAACAGATTCTTAATAAATTAACAGAGAAATATTGTTATAATATTTTATGTTCGAGACACGCTATTTCAAAAGACTTTTACTCTGCGTTTAAAATAAAGAACGCCTTCAATACCGTATAATTCAAGATTAAGCTATTCTTGTTGACTTTATTTTATATTCACCTTATGCGTCTCACTTGAGTAATTCCCCTCTTTAATTTTCTCTTTCCCTCTTCAATTTCCTCCCTGAAACACAGCAGGAATGTAATTAACTTCAATAATGTCAATGTCCGGCAAAAATGCACCCAATAAGCACGATCGCTGCGGTGCTTTTCAATTCAGTGTCAAATGTAATGGGCGTGCTGGGAGGGCGCTCTCAGGGACATGTGAGCCACAGGCCCACGTGTTGTGTAGCACTCAGGCAATTTAATGGGTCGCATTGTCCAAATATTGACTCTTTTTGCACACAGTACATGCAGAAAGAACGGACACAAGTAGATCGTAGTATACTACGTGGAGCAGTAGAATACATGTGAGCCACAGGCCCACGTGTTGTGTAGCACTCAGACAATTTAGTGGGTCGCATTGTCCAAATATTGACTCACTTTTTACCCACAGTACATGCAGAAAGAACAGACACAAGTAGATCGTAGTATACTACGTGGAGCAGTAGAATACATGTGAGCCACAGGCCCACGTGTTGTGTAGCACTCAGGCAATTTAATGGGTCGCATTGTCTCAATATTGACTCACTTTTTACCCACAGTACATGCAGAAAGAACGGACACAAGTAGATCGTAGTATACTGCGTGGAGACATACTGTATATATAGCAGTAGAATATTATATCTGATTTACTTGGAATTTCTTCAACGAAACAATGTACAGCATTTTCTGTACATAGAAAATTAGTAAAAGTGGAACTGATTAACTAAAATCCAAATAGAAGGAGCGTGAGCTAGCGAAATTGAAATAATTTATTCATAAATATTCATAAAGGTAACTGTGAACTACTATATAGGAAAGCTCGCGACATCGTGCAGCTACAACGGCAAGGCGTTTAATGCTAGAATTATGAGATTTAATTAGGAATTAGGTAGCAAGTTATATAAAGGCTTAGATAATTGACACCGGAAAATTAGAAATAATTTTGAAGTAGTGAGAAAAATAATTATAAGATTTCGACATTTCAAATGCAGAAGCAATGTGGGCACAAAATTTAACTAAATTTGCATCAAGTTTTGTAGGAGCTAATAATTTTTTCGACATGCAAGACGAGTGAATTCATTCCGTATTTTTAGTCACTATGGATTTATTGCCAATACCCAGATAAATAAATGCTAATTCGATCAAAAACTTATGCAATTTCACGCCCTTGTGTCATTGGGAACCAGTTAATTTAGTTAGAAATAAGGGCGTATCAGTGCTACGTCCACTCTCTGCTCGTGATATAAATAAGAAACTATATCTTAATTTGGACACCAGAAATTCAAAAGCGAAGAAAACTCCACAATAACTCAGCATGTTTCTATTGGAAACGTGTGTCATTGGGACCCAGATTTGCTGAATTTTTATGGATTTTTCTTCGCTTTTACATTTCTAGTGAACCTGCGTTTCAAACAATCTAGTGACATTACTAATTTGGACAATGTGATCCAATTTCTTTTCTGGGTGCAGCAGCAACTGGTGCATTCATCGTAACATTTAAGAAATAATGTGTACGGACGCCATAAAAGAACATTAAACACGCATGCTAGTATGCTTCGTGCACCGATCTAATGTACAACTTTTTAATGGCTTTTTGAACATAGAATTGCTTTTATTTTCCGGCGTCTATAAAAGGGAACTTCTAAAAATATGGACACCTGCGAGAATCCTGCTAAAGGTTTTGTTGTTTAAAACTCTTGTTTAAAAA